GAAAATAAAAGTTTCTTACCTCATATTCCATACAAGGATCTGGAGAATCATCAGTACAATGAATAAATCTTTAGAGAGAAAAAAGGCAACTGAATCTTTTTTTCCACTGGTGTCAGTTTATGCACACATATTCCTTACAATTAACATGCGAGTAATGTTTTACTAAAAGCATCCAGAAAGAGGAGACTAGTGCAAATGCGATGCACATTTATTAAGCATTATTCGATGCTATGCATTAGCCTAGGCGCCCTGAGATATTATCTCATTTAATCCTCAAAACAATGTTGTGGGCTATTATAATCTTAGAGATCGCATAATCTGCATTTTTCTGTTGAAAGGCAAAAATCTAATCCCAGAAAAGCCCACATTTAGCACCCAAGGCAGGACTTAACTGTCAAGTGCAGATTCCCATTGGCGGCAGGAAGGCACTGCCACCTCACCCATTCTCACCGTGCACACCTTCCGGCTAGGCCAGCAGTCTGCCTCTCCCTTAACACTAATCCTGCCGTCTAAAGCCACGCGAGGCTAATCTAATCCTCCTCCCATGTGACATTTTAAAAAATATTTGATTGAACTATTCAGCCCTCCATCAAGTATATTGCTTCCTCCTCTAAAAATCCTCAGTTTCATGAACAATATTTCATTTCATTTATTAAATGCCTACCCATACCCAAGACTGGGCTAGGCACTGGGAATGCTACAATGACACAAACTCCTTTGTCCTTTAGGAGGTCAGTCTGGTGGAGAAAGCTAACAAGTAGGCAAAGAATTTCAAAACACTGGGGAAAATAAAAATAAAATCCTCTGACAGCATAAAGGATGGACTGATCAGCTGTCTGCAGTGTGTGGGAGGGAGGGGAGGTGGTAGTCAAGAAGGGGTCCACATTTAAGGCAAAGGGAAACGTGCCAAGGTAGGGAGGGCACGTGAGAAATGTACGCAGTATTCAAAGAATGACAGGAGATTAGTACTGACGGAGTGTGGGATGCAAGGGGGAAACTGTCTCAAGACGGAGTAAGATAGAAATCTTGGACAATGAGAAGTACAAGTAACCAGAAAGGCCTTGTTTGCCTACCTAAGCAGGTTGAACTTTATTATATACACAGTGGGGAGCTATAAAGTTTCTAAATATGTGAGAGAGATCATCACATTCAGGCTTTAAGCATATCACTATGGCTCAGTGGTACTGGATAGTTTGGGGAAAGGGTGGCAACTTGGGAGGCAGGGAGACTAGTCGGAAGCTTGTTGCAACAGTCTCAGTGAGAAAGGAGGGTCCAACCGAGGCAATGGGCGTAGAGAAAAAGAGGAGCAGCACAGTACAAAGACAGTTAGGAGGCAGAGTCAGTATAACTCGGTGACTGACTGAAAAGGAGGGAGCAGGGAGGAAGAGGCCAGGGTGACTCTGGGGTGTCTGGCTGCAGGACTAGCTAGAGGCTGGCAGCACTGCCATTCACCAGGCATTACGAGACAGGAGGGAAAGCAGGCGACATGGGGTGAGGAAAGCCGGGAGAGTGCTGTATGTGGGCGTGCAGAACTGGAGACAATCGTGAGAACCACACAGCGATGTCTGATAAGCACCTGGAAGTAAGGAAACTCAAAAGAGCGGAAGGAGATGAAGACAATTCTGTGGAAGCAATAATCATACGGGTTTAAGAGCTAAAGTCAAGAAGCGGAAGTGATCACCTCAGGCAGATGACAGAATCCTGGGGAACACCAACAATTAAAGAGTGAGCGGAGGCAAAGGAGCTGGAGAAGGCGGCTAAAATCCTAGACGGAGGAGAGGGATGAGAAGGTGGCATCCTGAATGTTAAGGGAAGAGGGTTTCAACAAGCAAATGGTGAACTGACTCAATGGTACTGTAAAGTAAGACCAAGAAGGTCCCCTGGATCCGGTGACTTCTGCCAGGGCAATTTTAGAGAAAGTATTCCTACACAGGTGGAAACTAGATTGCAGAGAACCGAGGATTGAATGGGAGGTGAGAAAACAAAATATACACTTCAGAGCAGCCTGACTAGGAAATGTGGGAGAGAGAGAGGACAGCAGAAACAAAAGGTAACATTTAGGTGGCCGTCTTTAGCTTTCGTTTTTTAGTCTTTAAGAATGACATGCATCAGCAGAGAGGGTGTGATGATACGGGAGAGAAAAGGAAAGGAAGTGAGTTGGCTTATGTAAATGGTGTATAACTTGTAATACATAAATATATACGACTTGCAGTCGAGAGACATTTTTAAAAAAACATACAAACAACAAAAAACTTTTAAAGATGTCTTAAGCCATTTGCAAGCAAAACTGAGTTTGAAAAGCTTTTTAATTTCCCTGAATATACAATTAAGTTGGAATTCTCTGCAATCATTTATGATTTATACTACAAACAGTAACAATTTTAGTTTACTTGATTGGCTGAAATCCTGAGAAAACAGAACTTCTATTACCACTGATAATTATGCACTGACTGATAAAATCTGCATTGCAAAGGAAGGTAAACATAAGGTGTTTTTTTAAAAGCCAGTGGGTTTTCTCTATATTAGTAGGCTGTACTTACTGAACACTTACCTATCATATGCCAGGCACTGCATGAAACATTTTACGTTTGCCATCTCATTTAATCCTTACAATAATCCTATGAGAAAGGGCTATCATTTAATATTAATATCATCATCCATATTTATTGTATGAGGATACCAAGGCTCAGGAAGAGGAGGTAACAGGTAAGTGGGCAAGAGAGTGCATTAAACTCCATGCTGTACCACTTCTCTCAAGGATGGAGGTCCTAGAGCTGTTATTAAAGCTCTCAGATTAAGTTAAAACAAAACAGAAAAACAGCACGAATACTGGCAGGACTCCAGGCTCAAGCAGTATCACTGTTAAAAAAAATAGCTACCACTAACCAAATCGAATTTCCATAATATAAGATGGATTTTCCAAAATAACAATGTGTAAAACTTCTGTTTTTATACATTCAAGCACACACTGGTGCTATTTTAAGACCTCATTTTTCTCTGGAAAGCAAAAATCCCTTGCTTCAAATCAAACTAATTTAAAGGTATGTTACCCTAAGGAGTTATATCTAAAATTAGTAAGCTAGCTTTCAATATATTTAACTTTTTTCCTAATAAAAATTAATCCCATAGGTTGTTTTATGTTAATCAAAATTGAGATTGTGAACTGTCAGGTTAATAAAAATTAACATAATTATTTTTACCCTTAAATAAACCATCCTTTCCCCCTAAGGATCAGCAGACTGATAAGCATTAAGCATGTTTTTGGAGCTGTCCATTAAACATTTTCTATCATTTAAGAAAATTATGTTTGGACTCACAGCCAGTATAGAGACAAACGAAATATTCTGGATTAGATAATCCACATAAAGGAAAAAAGGAAATATTCCAATGAATATAAGAAAACAGTGGACTAGACATAAAAATCAAAATCAGGATCTTGGGCTCTGTACTAGCATTTTATGATCTTAGAAGTCAATTAAACTTCTCTGGCTGGATTTTAGTTGCAGTGGCAGTAAATGACAGTAAATGGTAGAGGGAATTAGGCAATTTCTAAAGTTCTTTATTCGATCAAATTTGTACACAACTTGTCAGGCCTTCTTTTCCCTCTTTCTTTGTTTTTGGTTAATCACTTGTTGCATACCGAAGCTCAGGGTATATTAGAGCTTCTAGAACACAGATTTGAAAATGAAAGTGTAGGGCTACAATGAGATGGGTCGATTTTTCAAAATACATCCCCAGAGATTCCAATCCAAAGGGTGAGATGGGGACCAGACGGCTATGTTTTGGAAAAGGTGGTGCTGAGGAGTAGCCTCAGCTCAAAACCAGCAAGAGGTTCTTGGGAAGAGGGCCAGGAGCGCATGTCAGCCAGCGAGAGGCCTGGTCAATGGCTCTGTGCCATTCTTGGGGAAGGGAAGAAACAGGAAAAGGGAGGAAGAAGCATCAAATTGGAGCAGCTGGGACCTCAAGCCTGGCCTTCAGAGCAGCAGCTTCAGCTAGAAAAGTCAGTCAGGCTCATCTAAACCCACTAAGGTCACTGCAGGATTTGGCAGGTTGTCAACCACTGGCAGGTAGCCACTTTGCATGAAACCTCTTGAATCTGGGGCTACATAAGATGGATCTGAAGAAATATGATCAAGATGATCATCTCTTTTAATAGTTATGCATAGGCCGAGCGCAGTGGCTTGGGCCTGTAATCCTAGCACTCTGGGAGGCTGAGGCAGAAGGATTGCTTGAGTTTGAGGTTTCTGTGAGCTATGCTGACACCACCGCACTAGCTGGGGTGACAGAGTGAGACTCTGTCTTAAAAACAAAACAAAAAAATAGTTCTACATAGTAAAATGTTCTTCTTTTCAAAAGACGCCCTAGCCTTTTTTTCCTACCCTAATAGCCTCAATATTTTAATTAGTAAAAATGCTAATTATTTAAAAAATTCTTTTATGAACATTTTATCCTTAAAACACCTTTCCTCAACTCCTTTTTAAATTCTAAGTGAAAAATGTATTAAAAATCCAGATAGTATTATGAAAGATAAAAAACTGTGTGGTAAAAGAATTTTTCATAAGAGAGAAAAGTATTTACAATACAGTATACTTTTAAAATAATAAGCACAAGTCACAAAACCATATACAGAACAATCTCACTTTTTAAAATAAACTGATAAATACATGACAAAACAACACAATGGTAAGTACCATGTTAACAATGCTCCCCCCCAAGAAGTGACAATTAATTTCTTCCATTGTTTATCTGTAGTATTTCTAACATTACATTTATCATATTGAATATACAGTACTTTTATATTGACTTTTAATTTTGAGGAATTAAAAAATACATAAAAGTACAAAGTGTACATGTATTGCTTTATAAGAAACTATTCAAGTTTACTTTAAAAGTTAATATTTTAGCTTCCAACCAAGCTAATTATCATGATAAAACTGAACTGGTTGCCTATCTTTTCTCAGTTTAAATGTAACTAAAAGATACAAGGGAGATATGGCCACTTCTTAAAGATTTAGAGAAACAAACAAACAAAAAAATAAAAAAAGATACAAGGCAGACAGAAGGAGAG